TGGTCTCAATGGTGATTAAACATGGAGTTATCCACATTATCTCGGCGAAAAAAATGGTTCTACCGATCGACGCCAGATGGTGCCTAACCTCCAAATTAGCGATTCTCACTCTGGTGTCGTTGGAACGAGTCCCCTGTATTTTTCATACGGTACCTAATTTTATCCCACGTAGAATCGAAGACTTTGGAACTCCAAGATAGACCCGTTTAAGGATGTAACCCGTCGAAGGAAACCCTAGGTACTTCTTGTTCGAGGAGACGTGCGGAATCGACCTGCCTCACTACACGGCGCATGCACCGACTCGGGCTCTCGTCTCTTTCGAGAACGCCAGAGCGTTCAACCGGCCTGCGAGGATGTGTCTGGCTCTTCTGCATCGGAGATGGATCTAGGGATGATGCCAGGCACACGACTCCTTTTCCGGAAAGAATCAAACGTGACATTCGAGCACTTAGCTCCAATTCCGATCCAGTAAAGGAAGTTACGACTTCAGAAAGACCTTTCCGTGGAATGATGGTACTTTCAAGATCTAATCGATATTAGCAGGCGTTTAAGCTCAGGATAAGGAAGAGGTAATCCCCAAACGTTGACTACTCGACGATGGCACAACGTGACACATGAGCATGGGTAGATTGCATGAAACTGACTTTAGCCTAATGGCGCTTTAAACCTCCTTTAGCGGAGCTAAAGGAGGTCTGAAGGAGGTTTAAAGCTCCATTAGGCTAAAGTCAGTTTCATGCAATCCACCCCGTATGTTTTTCGCACACGGTGTCTCAGGTGAATGGAGAGGAATTCAGGCCTAGAGAAAATTCTATACCGTATCATCCAACCAGTTCCGTCATGACACAGATGAGAAGAGCGAAAAGCCAATATCGTCGCTGCATTCGACCATTTTGGAGAGGATCGATGTGACATACCTGGCTTCGAGCAGCTCGCAGATTGCTTCTTCGTTGCGAGTGTCGCTATTTCTACTATATAAAATAATCGTATTTGAAGCACGAGGCGAAGCATTTTATATTCAGGCAGAAATTTTCTTCATTCAGTCGAGATAAGTGGGAAATGCACACGACGGCTCGGTATTTTTAGACCGCACGCGTTTTCGATTCGGTGGCCCTTGGGTCCGCAACCCCAATCGCCGAAAAGTTTTTGGCTCCCCTGGCTCGCGAGATATAGCCGACATTTGTACGATATCTCCCGGTCGGCATCATCCGGACTGGGGCTCTAACCATCATTCGTCTCTCGATGTAGCGATTTCCGCATGGGATCTTTTGCGATCCTCCCTGTCGGTCTCTGCAAGCCGTTCCCGTAGATCTCCGACGGTCGTGGACTCCTTCCCGCCGATTTCGTCTACGGGTCTTATAAGTCTCTGACGGTCGCCGGATCTCTTCGTCCTCGGTCGGACGATCCACTCCGTCGATCTCTCCTTGCAGTCTGATGATGTTTCCCCTCGATCCCTCGATGAGCGAAGCTCCGACGTCCTTCCCGCCTTCCGTCTGCCTCGCAACTCCCGGTTCCTGTCTTTTGTTCGAGCGTATTTCCTCGTTTCCTCTCTCGCTATCCGGGGTTCCCCTCTGCCGATGACGGTCTTTCACTCGTCCCTGACGAATCCCTCCGTTCTCCTCTTTTCAATTACCCTCACGGTCCGCCCTCCGAGCCTTTCGCTAGCTCTCTCTCTCTCTCGTTCCTCCGATCTACGGAACACGATAAGGCAGGGGCACTCGAGCGAGAGGCGCAGCGACTGCAGCGAACCGATGCGGAAGGCGCAAGAAGCGCGGATACCGATTTCCGAGATGCGGCGATTCGGATCTACGATTTCGCGACGATCCGACGACGACAGAGTCGGCCTCCGCGATCCGATCCGATCTCTGAAATTTCGACCTACGCGAAGGTCACATCACGCGTTTGGTTGCCGATCGTCGAGAAATATATTTCGGGAGACTCGAGATGGCCTCGAGCGACACGAGGGATCTCCACGCGTTGCTGGAAACAGCCATGAAAACGACGTCACGGCTTCCCCAGCTTTCCTTTTTTAAAATTTGAACTCCAGTCCGATCACGAGAGAACCCGCATCCGTAGCGACGCCGGAGTCGAGGCTTTCGCTCTTCTTGACGAGGACTCGCGTCTTCCAGATGTCAGGAAAAGATAGCGCCGAGGAAAAAGAAAGACAAAAGATGAGCTTCCGTTCTTTGAGAGTCTAGGCAAGCAAGCAGGAGCAGAGAACAAAGAACGAGACGAAAAAATCTCATCAGGGCAAAAAAAAAAAGAAGAGGGGAATGAATCCGAATCGAGGCATGGGAGCATGAAGTGATTTCTCATCGTTCCCTGCCACACGGTTTGGTAACGGTCGTCATGGCAACCAGATATATTGTCGTCTCCCATTCTCGGGAGTCTGTTTCGTGTTGTTTTTCCCGAATGGGAAAATTGCGCCGATTTTACATCGCACGTGGAGGGTCCGACGAAAACGTTCGGGGAACGAGAACGATATCTTTCTGGATCCGTTTCTTCTCGTCGGGAGAAGAAGAATACGATAGATTCCCGCGTCCCTTTCTCTCGTTCCCGAGTGCGTTTAACGAGGACGTCCCTTCCCCGACGGAATACGTGGTTCGAGTTCCTCCTCGCCTCGTTGTGGTCGTGTCCGTGCCAGAGTCTGTTTCCAACCGCGGACGGAGGCGGGAAGCGATCCATCCCCTTCGTCGCTGCGAGGGCTGGATGTTTCGCGAGAGGACAAGATACGGGCGGATCGAGAATAGACGAACCGAGTTCGGGGAGACGTGCCCGGAATGAATCCCTTACATAAGGGGGGAAACCCAATTTCCTTCCTCTTCTCTCAAACCCCTTCATGTATATTATCATAACAGCAGCAAAGGCCCTCGAGCCGTAATCGGATTTGTTTTAATCATTCCTAATAAACTTGCCGCGAGTTGGACTTTTTCCTCGTCTCTCGCGAATGCAATTTTCTTCCCCATCCCACGATTTCCTCGTCGGTATAAAGAGGGAAGAGCTGCAGCTGTCGTCTTTCTTCTCCGCGGAATCGGGCTCCGTTCCCTCGTCGCCTTCATGCAAATTCGCCTCAGACGGTTTCACGGGTGGATGAGAATCGCTTCCGTTCCGTCGCTGATGAGCACGGACAGGTGGTAAACACGGAAAATAGAAGCTTCGAATCTCGTCACGATGATGCGAACGCGAGGTCGAGAGGAGAATCTCGTCTTCGTCTTCGTCCCTGAAGGTGGAAAAAAAAAATTTCGGATCAGAAAGTTTTCTTTTTGCGTGACGTCATCCACTTCCGAGACGGATCGTTGCCCTTTGCGTCGTTCGAGGTCATCTCCAGACGGATAAAGAGGATCTCGGTCATCTATCACAAAGAGGGTTGGTAGATAATTAAGTGGAGGGGGGGAAGGGAGTGGGGGGGGAAGGGTTGTCCCTTGGGGAATTCCTCCAGCTTCTTCCTCTAATCTTCTGGACGGGATGACCATCCTACAATTCTTCCATCTTTCATTTCGGTCATTTTCGGTTCTCTCCCGGATACCCTGGAACTTTGGTGGCATCCGAGAGCCCGAATCTCTCGGTCTACGTGCAAGAGTTTGCTCACGTCATCGCTAAGGACTCGGAACTCAGACACGGTTCGTTCGTCGAAGATATCGTTTCGCGACGATGAGGAATTTTTCGGCGTCGGTCACTTTGCCTCGTGACTCGTATTCTCGCTTTCGCATTCTCGTCTTTATCGTTCTGCCGTCCGGTGGTGAATACGAAAGATGAGACGTTCGCGAGAGCGAGAATTCCAAACGTGCTATAAAGAGCCGGGTCGAAATGAAATTTCGATACGATGCACCTTACCGCAAAAATAACCGACTGGGAAAGAGAAAATCGACCAAAGTCCTTCGCCCCGTTCGAGGCAGAGCTACACGTTGCCTTCCAAATCTCGTGGAATTCGCGTCTTCGCAAGAAAGGGAATGAGACGGGGCCACGAGGAATGTGCGAGACGAGAGCGAAGGAGGGCCAGACTGCGAGGGATCCGTCCCGTCGAACGCCGAATCCTCTCCGCGCCTCCATCGTTATAGATTTTTTCGAAAGGTATGTTTACGATAATAAAATGATTCTAATGTGCAATATATTTGAGGTATTCTGGTAAAAGCCGTAGGGATGCAAGTTGTTACCGTTCTCGCGGACGAGAGCATCGAATCCAACACTCGCGTCCGTCTCTCCATCGTCCGATGGTACCGTATCGCGATGCGTTTTCCACGTATCGTTAGGGATCGGGTCGAAAAAGGCAAGAGAAAGCCTCGCTTCGCGTTTCCGTTTCTGCTCTCCGGTTTCGAGCGTTCGGTTTCTTTTCGTCGGAGAGCGAGCAATACGATACGATTGCGGGCGAGTTTCACCGGACGGCTTTCCCTCGAATGCCTTCCATCTCTTCGTGAGATCGAAGATGCGGGGACGTCTTTCTCCTCGAGGGCTTCGATTCGTTCGATGGGAAACCTTTCGGGAGACATCGTCCGGATGCCAAACCGACGAGGGTGTATTCGCGTTTATTTTTGCCACGCGAGCGTATCGGAGCTCGGACCCGAAGAGCGACGACGGAGCCAAGACCTAAAGAGCGACAGCGAGCGAGACGAGGAAAACGGCGGGGGATGGGATTTGCGATCGTCGACGCAAACGAGGGATTTCCCTCTCGTTTCTCTCGTGCCACTCGATCGTACGGTCACGGTCGGAATTTAATTCCCTTCTCGTGGCTGCAGTATGCAGCTGCAGCATCTCGTTCTCCATCGGGCCGAAAAGGAATCTCCATCGGCCGTAATGAGCGAGCGGCACGGAACGACGCCTCATTTCCTCCCGTCTCGATTCCCTTTCCTTCCCGACGGACCTCGGATTCCATCGAAGGCCTCGGGTTCCGTCGAAGGCCTCGCGGACCTCGGAGGCCCTCCGAATGCCGAGATTCCGTCGTGGAGCCGCGAAGGGTCGTAAATCGGGGAAGGAAGAAACGAGGGAAGCCGAGCTCCGTCTGACGCATGATGGCGTTTCGGGAACTCATAAAATCGATCTCGGACCCGACCCGAGTCGAGGGAAACGTCCTCGCCGGGAGCCATAAAGCCGACCGGAATTTTTCCACCCGGCCGATATTGCTTTCCGAAGTTTTCTCGTGGTTTCACGTTCGTATCGATCTCGTCGTCGAGTGCGTCTCGCTCGAGGAAGCGGCACGGCGAAAAAAGTCCGAACGAGGATTCGAGTACCGTTGCCGTCTCGTCGAGAGAGTCTGCCGCGATGCGACGCTTCGAAGATCGAACGGAATCGATTCGTTTCAGTGCCAGAGCCGACACCGAGACCTGGTGCAGAGTCCGATGTACCGCTGGAGAGAGACGACGACCTCGGGTTCGTCGTTGGACGACTGCGAAGAGGGATCCGAGGAGGGACGTCCCCTCTCGTCGCACTTCGGTCCCATCTACACTCGACCCGCGCTGACGGGGAATCTCGTTCTGCTCTGCATCTCCTTCACTCTGGTCCGTTCGGGATTCTTCTGCTGGCTCGGCTTCCACACGTCCCTCGTCCCCGACGACGAATCGAGGAGTTGGGCTCCGATCTTGCTCTACGGGACGGCCGCGATCGGGAACCTCTTCAACGGGCCCGTGTTGGAGAAGATGAATCCGAAGCAGACCTCCGTGGCCGGATCTCTCGTCCTGGCCGTCGCCTTCTTCTCGTACTATCCGTCGGTGTCGCCGATCGTCGCCTCGGTGACCGCTCCCGTCATGGGTCTGGCCTTGGGGATCTCCGCGTTCGGTCAGATCGACCTGGTGGTCACCGTCGGCCACAAACTGGCCGCGTGCAGTCGACCCGGAACTCGGGCCAACGCGGTGCTCAACCGGGTCGTCTCCATCTTTCACGTGTGTTCCAGCAGTAGCCACATCTGGGGGAACGCCATACTGTCGCTCATTTTCATCCTCGCTCACCCTTTCGTCCAGACGTCGAAAGAACAGCTTCCTTCCATCAAGGGACTTTGCGGGTCGCATCACTGCTTTCCGGACTCCCTCGTACCGGATCGCGGCCAGAGAAACGTATCTTCTGGACTTCCCGAGGGACCGGAGTCTCCCTGGACGGCCGTGGTGGGTGTGAGCGCGACGTTGGCGTTGATGGGCAGCGGAGCGGGAGTGTTGCTCAAGGAGCTGAAGGGAGCGACGGTCCAGGATCCGAAGGGAAGGAACCCGTTGCAGCGACATCTCCTGGATCTCCGAGAAAGCATGAATGACCTCACCGTGCTCTTAACCCTTCCTCTCGCCTTCTTCTCCGGCCTCGAGTTCGCCGTCTACGTCACCGATTACACGAGGGTGAGAACCGTTTATTTATATTTCCCGGTAAGCTTTCGCCTGTGTGCGTCTCGATGACGACGGCGATCTGCGAGATGAGAGGAATCCCAAGGAATTGCACGGCAGGGGAAGCAGGCCGGCCCGCCGGGTCTCCGAGGCGACCGGACCGTCTCATCCGACGAGGCCGATGTTTGTTTCGTCAGGACGTCGAGACGATCCGATTGGAAGTCACGATTCGACGAGACGATCGAGACGACTCGATCCCGGACGGGATTCGCGATGCAGGAAACTCTCTATGCTCTCTCGTTTGCGACGAGGAATCGCGAGGCGAAACTTCTCCGTGTTAGACTCGGCGGCCGCGATATCGCACGCGGGAAAGGGAAGAGAGGGTCGAGAATCGCGAAGAAACGCGGACGTCTCCGGAGAGTCGAAATTTGAGGCCTCGAAGCCCGTATCTCTCGGCGACGAACGGGAGCGTTCCGGATGCCGCGAGGTCGATTACGCTTTCCCGGAAATCTCATGACGAGGGAGCGCGACGAAGCCGGTGATCGTCCGGGGATCGATTGGCATCTCCTCGTCTTCGGCCCGATCGATCCCCCGGCTCGAAAAGGGGCGGAAGAAAGCGCCTACGGTCGTTCCGTTCCCCGCGAAGCGCGAGGAAGGTGCGCCCTTTCCGTTGCTAGGGTAGGCAAATGCGATTTGCGCCTTTTCGTCGGCCCCCTTTCTCCGAGGCATCACGAACGAGAAGCTCCGAGAAGTCCACGCGTTTGCTTTCGTCCTCTTTGGCTTTTTTTCTTCTCTCTCTCTCTCCCCCGGAAGAGGGGAAGCCACGATGCATCTCCCGGGGGATCCGGTCGAAAAGACGTGCGAGAAATAACAGTCGGCATCCCGGCCCTCGAAAGAGGATTCGGTTCGGTCCATCCCCGAGGCATGACAAAAGCCGGATGCGAGCTCTTTCCAGGATCCATCCGAGAAGATGGCAGAGATACGGAGACGGAAAACGGAAAGACGAACTGGAACTCGCCAGACGGAACTCGATTCGGGAACCGAGCATCCAGACGGAATTCTTGGGATTCTCTTTCGGTCGGTCGATCGCGAAAACCGTCCGCGGAATCGAAGGCGAGATCGTTTCGCGAGCCGAACCTTTCGTTCGTGGCTAGGTTTACCTTCGCGAACGCGATGCGCTCGCGTATCGAACTCGCCGAAAAGTCCCATCGAAGGAAGAAGGAAACAGGAAGAAAATTCCGGTAGGAAAAGCATTCGTCTCCCGGCAGGCTTCGATGAGAAAATATGGCTTTTCGTATCTTCCCCGAGGATGTCTCGTCATCGATTTTCGGCTCGCGGTCGATATCTCCGTTTCGAACGAGACTCGAACGAAGACGGAACGGAAGTCCGCGTCGTCTGCCTAGGACGAGAAGATCCACCGGTGGGGTCGGTGAGGTCGGCGGAGGGGAGTCGAAAGATGCACGGACGGGGCCCGGTGGAGCGGAGTCGGAAGATCTTCCGACGCCCGGATCATCCATCACGTCCGAGGCGAAAGAGAAAAAGGAGGAAAGAGAGAGAAAAAAATGGGGGAAAAGAGAGAGACGTTCCTCTCCTCCTCGCCCTCTGCAAGACGAACGATCCGGAACCTCTTTCCCCGCTTCGGCTGTGAATCGAACTCCCCAGAGGCGAAAATTTCTCATCGCGAAGCGTTCGGGAGACGATGAGGATTCCGGACTCGGATGATGGAGCCATGCAAGGAGAATGAGGGCCGGCCGTCGTCTGAATAATGCACGAGACGACGAGGAATATCGTGCATGATGTTCCTGCTCCTCCTCTTCCTCCTCCTCGTCCTCGTCCTCGTCGTCCTCCGCGGATTCCCATTCGTGTGGATGTCTCCACTCTCGGCTTCCCTTCTCTTCATCCGGCGGGAAATTGCTCCCGTATCGGGGCGAGAGGACGAGGACTTCTTTTTCCTCTCGTTAGCTCCACGGGATTTCGCGGAGGAAATGGGAGGAAGCCTGCGGAGACTGCTAATGCCTCGTCTTCTTTTCTTGCCGGAGAGAGCGAGACACCGGTTGAATTAAACAAAAAAAAACTATTTTTTTTTGGAGGAGTTTCAGCCGGCTTCGATGAAGAACTTTAGGTCCCGGATCGAACGGAATCGAAACCAAGGTTTCTCATCCGGTAGATCGATATCTCTAAAAAAAAAATATATATATATATATATACATGTAGCCGAGAAAATTCGGATCGACTCGTACGAAAATTTTCCCCATTTTCTCCCCCGCAGTGGTACGTGACCTGCGCTCTGGGCTACGAGTACGTGGGTCTGGTGATGACGTCGTACGGGATCCCGCACGTGATCGGTTGTTACGTGACGAGCCTGCTGACGCGAGGCGGAAGGCGATTGGCTGTCCTCTGGGGAAGCACGGCGTTCCAAGCCGGAGTGTTCCTCGCCCTCCGACTGTGGAGTCCCAACCGAGACGATCTGGCCCTTTACTACGTGGTGGCCGGGGTGTGGGGCATCAGCGCGGGCATCCGAGCCACCCTCTCTCACTGTACGGATCCAAATTCTTCTCTGCTTCGATTCCGCTCCGTCCCGCGAGGCTTTCGTGGGACTCGAACCCCCCACCCCCTATCCCCGATCTCCTTTGTCGGCTCGGAGTCCCATCTCGAGAGAGTTCCGAATTCATTTCCCTCGGGTTCCCGGCGTCGGAGACAGAAAGAGAAAAAAAAGAGAAAGTCGGCTCGACGAACGAGGAAAAGACGGGGAGGGTGTCGTCCCTGCCGACGCGACGCATCTCCGCTTCGCGGCACGGAGCGACGAAAAACGATCGCGGATTCGGAATCGCAGAGAATCGGACCTCTCGATGATCTCTCGGATCGTCTCTGTTCCAGCCTTCCTGTTCTCCGTCCACGGAGACGGGTGGAAGAGTCCGTTTGCGGTGCACGGGGCGTGCGTCTACGCGGGATCGGCCGTGGGTCTCCTGCTCTATCACACCCTGTGTCTGCCGGGGAAACTGTGGGCTCTGGGCGTGGCCATGATCCCCGCCATCACCGCCCACGCCTGGGCCGAGATCGGATCCTCCAAGTCCCACCCGACTGCCTCCCTGTAACGTCGGCGTTCCGAACACGGTCGATGCGCTCTCGAAAAAAAAAACGTTTTTCATTTTCGGCTCGTGGAAGTCGCACTTCGGATCGCTCGCCGAACGGGATCGATCTCTCGATCGCCTCGTTACGCTCCGTCCGTTCGGACGGAACGAAGCCACTCGAGGAAAGGGAGAAAAAGCCTCTCGAAAGGGAACGCTCGTCGAAACCGAAGAGAGGAACGCTCGTCGGAGCCGAGGAGAGATCGGACCGGAAAAAAAAGGACGGTAATTGGCGTGTCGCCAATACGGGCCTCGATCCCTTTCGCTTCTCTATCGCTCTCGTCTCTATAGCCTCCATCCAAAAATGTCACTCTCGCTCCGATCCCCCATATCTCGTTTCGTAAGAAATGCCATTCGGGTCTGCCGAGTGCTCGACAAACACGGAGCGACTCGGAATATTGGATGGCTTCGGGCACGAAAGGAATTCCGAATTTCTTTTTCGACTCTTCGCGTTTTTTTTCCGTCTTTGAAAATCCTCTTTACTCTTCCAGCCTTCGACGGTAATAAATCGTGAAAAAATCAGGATGCGAGGCTCGTACGGCAGAAGCTGATCCTTTGGAAAGCCTCCAAGAAAAACTTCCGAGAAAAACTTGGAAGAAAACTGGAAAGACTCTCCTCGAATGTTTCGATGGGGAGTTTCGGCTTCGATCGGAAGATGCACGACTCGAAAAGAGAGCCGCAAACCACCCCAAACCACATCGTACGAGCACTTGGGGTTGCCCAAGGAGAAATCGTACTCGAGGGAGGTGCTGCCATCTGGCCTCCAAAATCGCAAGCGTCTCTTTGTTACGGGTCCGTCAGATGGCGGATCGGGCTCCGACCACCGACCGAACGTCTCGTCCCGTTTTCCTAATCGCGCAAAAACTCGGCCCATCCAGATGGGAAGGGACGGCCGTCTCCCTTCTGCTGCCCTCGGCGACCCATTTTTCTCGCGAACGAGTCGAGGACGAGCGAGCGTGACGTCACCGTAATTTCTCACGGTACGCCTAAAATCCCTGTCAGAAACGGCTATAATTTAGGGGGGCCCTTCTCGAAACGTATACCCATCCCGACCGGATGGCTGCCGGAAAGTCACGTCGGATCCAGACCGGTTCATCGTTCCGATACCACCGGTGGAACGAGAACGTTTCTCGTCTATCGTTGTCGGGGGTCCATCTGCAGATGCAGTTCGATTTCCACCGTCGATTCGGCCGTATAAAATTCAGACCGGAAAATTCCAGTCGAGTTTTGAAACCGGGTACGAAAATGCCTTTCCAGGTCTCGGGCGATATCGAACGACGACGATCGATGCGAAGATTCACGGAACGAAATTCCCGAGCCACGGGGCAAAAACGTTTCGGATACGAAGCGACGACGTTCGAGGGATATGGAAAGCTGAATTCTTTTTTTTTCTTCTTCTCTCTTTCCCTCCGCATCGGCAACCCGTTTTCGATCTCAAGTAATGGAGCTCCATTTAATTCCGGAAGACAGATGTTGTGAATTGGATTCGGATGGCGCGACTGTGGCCCCGGTTCGAAGTCGAGGCAATCGACGTTCCGTTTCCTCTCTTCATTCCGCCCTCCTGGTCCACTCGGCCTTCCTGGCCCTCTTGGCCCTCCTGGTCCACTCGGCCTTCCTTCCTTTTTCGGGGAATCTGTTCTTCCTCCCTTTCACGGTGGTATAGCGCAGTGCAACCTTTTTTTCCACGACACATTTTCGAGTTTGCTCGATCCTCGCGGCCTACCGACTCAAATTTCACGATGTCAACGTGTACGATACAGTCGACGCTCGGTGTAACGAACTCGAAGGGACGGGCTAAAAAATACGTCACGAGGAATATTCGTCACATAGAGGTTCCTTATATCGAGCGTCGACCGTATTTTCACGACCCACGAGTCGATTCGTAGCTTGGGAATAATAAAACAGGATGATGTTCTTTCTTTTCCTACGATTCCGAAGATTCCTTGACACACGAGGGACACCGTCGCGGCACACCGATTGCGAAGCACTGGTCGAGAGCATTTAAAAACGTGGCAAAAAGTGAACGACGAGAGTAGACATTTTCCGGCTGCGAATCGCCTGAATCGGGACAAATTTCATTCTCACGAGAATCTAGCGAACCTTTCCCCGGACACGAAAGTACTGTAGGTTCTGCCCCACGTTCGCTCGTGCATTCGACGAGTTGTGGAAATTGGAGAGATTTTTACTTGGAAGCATGGCCGCCCAGAGGGGAGGGGGAGGGGAGGCAACTAGGGCAACCTGCCCCGGGCCCCACGTATCAAGGGATCCTCCAAAGGGCCTCAAGGGGGCCCCCAAGGAGGTCTCCGGTTTAGTTTTGTCCCGCGCCCCAGGAAACCTCTGGGCGACCCTGCTTGGAAGGTACAAGGGAACCTCCGACCGTCTGTCTCGCGAAGCTTTCGGCGACTGCTAATACCATTCGACCTCGACTTCCGGATCCTCGGGAGAACTCGGTCGAGCACAAAAACCTCACATTCGCCGTCAATTCATAAGTTTATATCGGATCGGTTCCGATCGAAGAACGAGAAGAAATAAAGAAACGGTCGTCGAGGTGGATCCACTTCGCGAAACGATCCAGGAAAGCACACGCATGGAACGCGTCCTGACCTGCAATCGATGGAAGCACTCCTATGGGGGGTGTGGGGGAGACGATGAACGTGACGGGACTTTTTGGGTCGGGTTTTCCACTTGAGTGCATGACATCGCCTTGCCTCGGATCCGACCCAATTCCCCGTTTCGTTTCGGATCCCAACGGACGTCGACCGGAGAGTCCCGTCTCTTCTCGACTGTATATTTACGTAATCGAGAGGAGCGGGTTCCAGACTTCTCCCGAGAATCTGCTCATTCTCCTCTCTCTCTTCCCCCGCGACCGTTCCACCCAGGCGAGAAAGATATTTATTTTACGAGCGAAATGCGACTCGTGCTTTCCGTTCCGTCTCTCCTCGACGGATCGGCCATCTCGTGCCGAAGAGAACAAATCGCAGAAAGAATCCAAAACCAAGAAACGTATCTCGGACGGCGTTCTGCAGCGCACTGCGATACCGTACAGACGTTTACGATTCATTGTAAAAAAAAAAATTAAGAGGTTAATTAGCCGCATAATTGTTTGCATCCAACAGAGAAAAAAATGAAAATACGTTTCCCGAAAGTTTTAAGTCTCTCGATCGCTCGGATGGAATCCAAATTCACGAAAGTTTTCCAACTCATCTCTCGTGAAAGGTTTTAGCAGTGCTCCAGAAATCCGTTTCGTCCGGCATGGAAAAGCCGCCTTTTAACGTCTGCGTCTTCGACCTGGTGTCGTTGGCGTTCCCGAACGCTCGATGCGATCACGCTGCAACGAGAAAAGGAACGCTTCGCCCGATAGAGGTCGGAAACTGACAGATTTGGATTCTCTCCTCACAAAAGAGTGGATTCGTCGCAAGGCTTCGTTCTCGGACTCTTCACGATTCGCTGCACTCTCGAGGGATCTGCGGATTTCGTATCCGCAGATCGCTCGATCTGCGATACGATGTCGCGCATCGTGTCGCATCGCGCAATAACGATGCGATACGGCGTACATCGTACGCGATGTGGCGCGACCGAGCTTCTGGATGGGAACTCCTTGCTGTCGGCCGACGTCGTTCGATGCAGATGCGATGCGGACTCGAACGGTGAATTCCTTTCTTCTCTAAGCCGCCACGCGAAGTGGAAGATTCCGGCCGAAACGAACGGAAAGCCTCGGAAGCCGTGGGATTCCTTCTTCCCTCGGTTCCCACCTAGATGCACTTTGCATGCATGAAACGGGGGACGAGTCGGGATTAAAAGCGTCGTGTCGTCTCTCCTTTTTCATCGCGTTCGAGATTGCCTCGGTAGAAAGAGAAGCTCAAGCATTAAATCGGACAGAACGAGGACGAGTCGGAGATGAAGTTGGAACGAACGTGCCGAAATTTGCGAGCGAAAGCGAGCGTCAGAGTGCCTCGGGATTCCTCGACGGTCTGAAAGCTCTGAACGTCATTACGTCATCATTACGATCGTTGCGACGGTTCGTCGCATGAAAACCCGTGCTAGGAAATCGCTCCGCGTTCGGCCGAATGGTTCCGATGAATATATCCACGATCGAAGAAAGTCCTGCCAACAACTAGATGCGATTGGACTTGAGCCTGGGCCTGCAATACCTGCACCTGCCTTTAGTTGCCCAGAAAATCAAAGTGCAGCTCAACATTTGAAGTGACCTCTTGCAGTTCACTCGTAAAGCTTAGACTGGACTTGGACTTGAACTTCTTTTTCTTAATACCTAGAATGAGAGAAGTTACGCTTTTGCTACCATATATGGTAGCAAAAAGCAATCTGTAACTTTATTGCAGCAACGATATTGATCTCGACATCCCTCCTCGATAGACACATTCTAATAAAAGTGTATACCAGGAATACGCAATACGAATCAATTTTGATCAAATTTATTGCATATTCTCGGAAGAGGTTTTCCTGTCCACGCCGTATGGTGCTTCTCTCGTGCACCAGCTATGTAGATTTCTGCCCTTCTTGCATTACTTCGAAGACGAGCCGAACGGGAAATCGTCCACCCACCCGGGGCACCCTCGTCGCGAGAAGCCGGCAAGGGTGTCCCGGGTGGGTGGACCCTTCTTCGCGCGGGTCGAGAACCGCCGGTGCGGCCGCATCTGCCGGTCGTTCGTCGTACCTGGGAGCCGGTGGAGCAGGAATAGACCGTGTGGAGAGCCGCAAGGGGCAAGGAGATGACGACGGCAGCCGTGCAACACCCGAGGACCATCATCTTGGCCCGACGATGGGAATTGATGCTCTTGAACCTCGTGGGCCAGCAGACCCCGACGAACCGATCCCCGGTCAGACACACCACGATGAAGATGCTCGAGATCTGGAAGGTCGTCAGGAGGGGGAGTTCCAGGTGGGCGTGGTAGAACGCCGAGAGGTAACCGAGGGACGAGGACGGCCGTCCCAGTTGCAGCTGGAAAGCGAAGGACGCCGTGAGCGTTCCCAGGTCTCCC